AACGGAGCTGCCATGCAAGGGGCAGGCCTGTCCACTGCGAGCAACAAGATTTAATGTAGCTACATGTGGACATGTGTTTTGAGACAGACTTGACAGGAAATTGTGTAGCTTAGCTTAACACAAGGACTAAAGATGGGGGAACAGCTAGCCTGGCTCTGTCCAAAGGTAACAAAACATTCCTCCCAGCACCTCTAAAGCTCACTAATTATCATGGTATATCTATTTTTGTTCTTTACAAAAACTGAAGTGTAAAAACAACAAGGTTGTGGGGCCATGTGCCAGATTGTCTCTTGGCTGGACACAGTGAATCATTACAATATAACGTATTAATTATTGAGCTTTAGAGGTGCTGATAGGCAGATCTTCACATTTGGACAGAGCCAGGCTAGCTTTTCCCCTCTGTTTCAAGACTTTAGGCTAAGCTAATGTAACTGCCTTAGCTAAAATGCAAAAGAAAATAAGCACATTTCCCAATAGTGAAATTATTATTGTTATTTTGTTGATATAATAACAAAACTGTGGACCTTTGCAAGTACTTGTTATGATTTATAATACAGTAGCCTAATGCTTATCTATGAATATAAATACAAATGATTTCATTCAGACATCTCCTTACACATACACAAATATTAACATGTGGACATAAACACAGTAACTAGATGCACACACACATGCATGCGCACCTATACACAAATTCTCTCTCTCTCACACACACACACACACACACACACACACACACACACACACACACACATACACAAACTCACACACAGGAAAATTAATGAGCTCTCATTCATAATCCAGGATGGAGAGAGCCATATTCACCCTTGGATGGTTTATTGACTGATTTCATTTATTTGTGTGGAATAAATAGGAGGTAAATATTGGCTCGCTCTCACATTTTCACACACTCGCTGCACAGCATTCTGGGAGAAATGATCCCACCAACAGCAGGGTCACTGATTGGTTACCTCGTCAGTGTGTGACAAATTACCCAATGAGAAATAGGTTACCCATTTCCACAAACTAATTAACCTGGGTGATGGTGAAACAAATTATTACATTTATGTAATATTATTTCACATCTGTCGCTAGACTACAAAAATCTTCATCCCAGTTCCCCGCCCCCAGATCGCTTCTGGTTGTGATTATAAGCACACCCAGACATCATGTCTTGTACATAAATAGTTTTAAATAACCTCCAGTTGAAAACCTATTCACAATACTCCCTTGGTAACATGATGTGTGGTATGTATGAAGAGCTACTTAAGCTTGTCTGATAAGGTGGTGGGGGTACATCAGACATAAAAATGTTGGGAATTAAAAGAGCCTTTTCTGATGCTCACCTGTCAGCAGATGTTCAGTATCAGCAATAATAAGTCTCTCCTGGTTTAAGCTTAGTTTCTTTTCGTACATTCTTGTTACCGTAGCCTCAATGCACATGTGTTATTTACACTGGGGACGCTGGGGACATGTCCCCATCACTTTTTGAAATGGCTGATTTTGTCCCCACCACTTTTTAAAAGCAAAATTGTTTGAATAAAGTTCTGAAATATAGCTTGCCGTTAAATAACAAATGAAAATGCTTTTAGAAATGTTTATTTGCATACTAAGAAAATGTGCTTTGCAACTAAAATATAGAAGAAACAAATGTGCATTGTCCAAAAAAAGTAACTTAAGCTAAAAAACTAAAACAAATTATAAAATGACCCAAAAATGTGCAAGCACCAATCAGCAACATCAACAACTTCTTGACACAGTTTCTTTTTGGCCAATTTTTCTGTTCTCTCCCTTTGAACATGACAAAAGAGGAGGAAAGACTAAATCATCCCTACATATGTGTTGCCTCAGCAGGGATGACATTACATGAGAAGAGTTGATCTACAGGAGAAACAGATCTGAAAGCAACACAGAATGCCTGAGAGCTGCACTGACTTATATTCTGCTATATTTATATATTTCTAAATGTCACATGTTACCTAAATTTTGTGTTTCCTTTACCATAAAACATTTACACCATAAATTGTTGCAGAAACCTTCACCAGAATGCAGGAAATGAAGTGTTTAATGATCAAGATTTCCTGGGGGACGTCCCCCCAGACCCCCCACTCATTTATCTCAGCATTGAGCATATCTTTAAAACACTGTTTAAGGATCTTTTCGTCTCATTTTTTGTGAACCTAATGTTGCTTATCATGATGTCTTGTGAGCTATGTGTCTCTTCACACCCCCTAATCTGAGCCCCTATGTCCCCTTTTCAACACAAAGTGACGCCCACCTCAATTGTTAACAAAAACCAGCAACACCAATATGGAACAACAATAAATCTCCGAATGCCCTTTGGTCCTGCATGGTCCTACCCTTGATTACCTTAAATCATTTGTCTGTGTGCTGCCACCAGCGTACATTGTGCCATCTACATGTTGAACTAGTAATGACAGACCCTTGAGCTTAAATTGTAATTAAGTTACCCTAACAAGACCTACCTGAGGTCCAGTTGCACCTGCTGATGGGGAAAACCTCTCCTTTGTCTATCAAAATATACCTGGAAAAGGAGATATATGTATATAACCCACCCTAAAGACACTTACCTTACACAGCTGCTGACAATATTGTGGAAACTGATTTCTTTAAAATCTTAAAATAACAGCTCATTTTGGTGGAAGACTGACTTGTAATAGGATGTCATTACTACCCCGAGCTCACAGTGCCAGCTACTGCGCAATGTAACACAACTCATCAGCAACCAAGCAATAAGAACAAGCAAAAATTGTAATGTCTGTAACAATGTAAGTTCTTTGGAGCTATCTCGGTATTCTCTGTTTGGATATCATGGCAGAGGCTGCAAAGAGACCGAAGAAGATGTTGTTGAAAGAAGCAAAGAAAAGAGAGAGTGACCAAGTAAGAGACTGGACAGCAGTAAATATTGGACTGGCTAAAATAGCTGAAAGAATGCAAAAGAGACGCCGGGCGGCCTTCTTGATGTTTGAAGTAGCCTAACATCTTATTAGCTGGCTTCCTATGTCTTGTTGCATTTGCTTATGTTTGCCACTGTTAGCAAAGTTGTCGACTAGAGCAAAATCATCCTGAGGTTTCACAGACAGAGGTTTTGCCACTAGCTATAAATCTTGAGTTGATGTTAAATTAGATAACACATTCTGACATTAGTCGGTTGCTGTCTAGCTTTGTGTCTAGCTGCTGCTGCTCTTGTCTTATTCTCTTCTTAGCTTCCACCACTAACATCCTCTTCGGTCTCTTCGCCTCTGCTATTAGCTAACGTTATGTCCATGGAGGCTGTTGGGCCCAGTTATGTTGCATGCTCGCCCAGCTCCAGCTTGTGCACAGCAGAGATTTAAGTTTGTCCTAGACATGACGCCACAGCCTTGTCTTCATGTTTGAATTCTACCTTCAGATACAGTATGTACACAGCCTGTTTATCATTGTTTTATTATTAACATGTAGGTTAATCTTTGGGAAAAGCATGTTTTACGATTAATTATTTGATTGTTGTAGGTGTCACATGTGAGAAAGTTGAAGCTCCTGAGATTCATAATTTCAAGTTGACTACATGCCAAGGTTCACAGCCATTGAATGTTCCTCTTGTTTCAGGTTTTATAGTAACCAGGTGTCGTTCAGCTAAAATATATTAAAATGAAGAAAAACGGCATTGGCCCTCTGCTAATTTGTCAGTATGGAGTTTGGGAATTGAGCATTTTGTGTGGAGATACATATTCCTATTATTGGAAGAGACTTTTGTCCACTTAAAAAAGAAATGCACACTGGGACATGAGCAGTTTCTTGGGCTGGTCCATCACAGAAACTGCAGAACCTACAACTGCTTTCAGGTGCCAGCACGTGAATGATCTCCTCACTGTTTGAAAAAGGATTGGTTACGCACCCTGAAACCAGAGGCAGAGGAGGAAGGTGACTCTTTACTTAAATGAAAGTAAAACTCATAAAAAGTGAAAGTACAAAAGTAATATCAGCCAAATGTACTCAAAATGCAAAATATCCCCTTTCAGAGTGCTATATTATTGTGGACTGTTTATATTATTATTGATGCATATTAGCAGCATTTCAATGTTGGAGCTGGTTGAGGTGGAGATAATTTTGACTACTTTATTTAATGTTGGGTTGTTCAAGCTTTAAAAATGCATCTCTTCTGCATATTTTATAAACTGCTCATGTATTTTGTATGTACATTTTAAATCAGGCAAATGCAGTGGAGTAAAAAGTACTGTATTTCCTTCTGAAGTAGAAAAATAAAGTACCATAAAATCCTAAAATAAAGTATAAATAGCATAAAATTGTAACAGAAGTTTGCATAAAGAACATAATTTTGCTACCTTTCACCAAATTATAGATAATTTGTTTGATGCTGTTTATTTTTAGCTTTAAAATGGATTTCCACTGTCTTTACTGTAAAAGTCTTCTTCCTGTCTTCATTGATGGTTTATGTGGTCACTAAAAAACCTTATCTGATGATGTCATGATATGATGTCATATTGAACAGAAAATGTGATTCATAATTTAGTTTGAATTGGAGATTTAAAGTGGATGACACTGTGGAGTTGGGACATGCAGCTTCTGCATCAGTGTTTTGGATTAGATTAAAGTTGCATACAATATTTATTCTTTTTTCATATTGCATCTTGTCGCTGTCCAGTGAAAAACATGCATCTTCAATTTCTTTTTTTATTTGAAGAAGAACTGTGTTCCTTTATGAGTTGAGTAAATTCTTGTACTTTTAAATTAAATAAACCATTAAAAACCAATTAGATTTCCTAAAATAAAGCTGAAAACAAGACTGTTTCTCATGACAAATTGATGTTAACACATACATGTTTTTTTTCAGTGGCACCAGTGGTCCAGTGATGCCTTTCACTCTTTAACTTGAGCCCTTAAACTGCTTCAAGAAAGAAGGGTTGATTCGTGATGTGACATAATCGAAAATGATTTTTATTTGATAATTTACATTTAATTGATATAAACATGTCCATGGAACAAAATGATTCAAACATTTAAGAAAGTCAAGTATTTGATAATCAGCACAGACATAATTTTGGAAACATAAGTTATCACAAACTGACCAAATGGGAACAAGAGTGCTTCCGCTACACAAAACATCCTATATAACAGATTATAGTTAAGTCAGTTTCCATGTCTTAATTTATTGTATTTCCCATGTTTTTTTTGCCTTGAACAGCACATGCAGTCAAGTCCTCTTCCATGTTGTCCTGATTCTTGTCAAATCAGCTTCCTTCTCTCTTCTGGTGAATCTTTCATGTCCTCATCATCTTTTAAACCTCCAGGTGTCTTGTTTCTGCACATCCACTGTTCCTCTTTTTGGCTCCTCATAGTTGCATTCTGTGCAGCAGGTGGAGAAGGGAATCTGTAAGTAGTTTTGTGTTTCATAGTATCCACAGAATTTGTCTTCAGAAATGTCAGTCACCAAGCAAATGTCACTGAAAACCCTGCAACAATAAAGGCCAGGGCTGCATGTACCAAATAAATAAACACAGAACAAACAAATAAGTGAATTTAAATAATCAAATAAATAGTTGGCATAGGTTACATGCGAAATAATAAATTAAAGCTTAAAACAGAACCAGTCCTAGCTTGATAAAGACCAACAGGCCTGATAAATAGATTCAGTTTTCCCTCTTGTTTGTGATTTGGGAGAAAAAATGTCAGGTGTACAGTATCCTGTTTGTAGTTTCCCCGGTTCACCGTTTGGATGGATTGGATGGATAAGAAGTAAATGCAGAAGAATTCTGTGTGAGTGAAAGAAAAGCTCTTTGCGGTGGCCCTCCTTACTAGGTGAAACTCATGGATACTGTGTGCTCCAGCGCTTTGCGGCGCAGCGACGCGATGCTTGTCCCTCTCCAGACGTCACTGTCCGGGGAACTACACAGCTGAGGCGAGCCGGTCACGTTGGTCGGGCCCGACAGGGACGCGGGTACCATACCGGGGAAAGTGGGCTGGTAGAGGTGCGACTGAAGCCCGGAGCCGTTTGACGACATGTTGGCTAGACCCATGGAGTTGGGCGGCGGCCCTGCGCCGAGACTACACTGAGACAGGGACTGCGCCATGGCCTGCTGGCGGCCGAGAGCCGGCGGTAGCTGCAGTTGAGACACGCCGGGCATCCCTGCCGTAGCCCAGCGGGTGTCGTTGGCGTGAAAGGAGCAGAGGCTGTCGCCCATGGCCGCTGCTGCTGCCGCGGCAGACGGGAACTGAGGCAGCCCGTGGTGCGTCGGCAGGAGAGTCCCCGGAGCCCGAAAGACATTGGTGGTCTTCTTGCGCTTCTTCCACTTGGCGCGTCGGTTCTGAAACCAGACCTGCAGAAAGAGATGTGATGAGTTAGGAGGAGCAGGTGTAATGGCTGCGGGTGTATTGAAGGGTCGTGTTATCAGAGCAGTAAGCGCACATAAAAAGGTTATGACACCAGTCTGTGACCATCATGATAATGCCAACCACCAGCAATAAATCAGCTGCAGAAAAACACAGATTTATGTTTTTTCCAGGATTTTATCAGCTTATCACAAAGTTCCAAAACCTTGCAATTGATGTGTAAACGTTCCCAATCAATAAAATATAGCCTATATAGGCTAACACGCCTGTAGGATACGTTTTGTTTATTTTGGTTATTCTTTCCTGATCCTTAAAACAAGAGTTTCAACAGAGGTTACATCTCATCTAGGTGGCAAAATGCTAAAAATTTTGGATTTGAATTGTTGAAATGATGCCTTAATAAATCAACAGCATTTTCTTAGGCCTAAATAATATTATAGGTCTCGTTAATATTAATAGGCTATATAAGTATTATCTCGAGTTTTTAAAGATGTAGAAATTATGTTTTTATAACAGTTTTATTTTTCTGTAAAGATAACATTATAGATAACTTATTACTTTTTACTTATTTGACCCCAATTGACTTCTACTGCTTTGGGAGGAGCCACTGAAAACTACGCACTCAGATAATAAAGATAACGTTGTTGCTGTGACAAACAGTCTGCAGACGAACAGACTTTATTCCGGGAGTCCTTGGGCTCCTGTAGGTTTGCTTGTACGCGGGCGTCTATGATTAATGTGAAGATTTGGTTGAGAAAGTGGGGCGCAGTAATAAGAACGGGACAATCTCACTCTCTTTCCAATCCGCGTAGCCAGCCGTGAAATCCGGCCTGAAATGCATTACACTTCAAAGGAAAGAAAATGCAATTTCTCATTCCGTTTAAAAAGACAGAGTGCACCCTCAGCCCGTCCAGCATTAAGACACGCAGGGCGGTGACAGGCCCATCGCTAAACCGGCTTCTTATTTCAGCCCTATAATAACAGCAGATGAGCGTCATTTCACTAATTCTGATTTTATGGAAATAGTATATAGAAACTGAATTGACCCACACAGCAATAATGATTATTAGGGTATTATTTCACATTTGAGTGCATTTGGCATTGCTATAGTTAATAAGGCGGTGATGCCATAATTCCTAATGTGGATTTGGTATCTGTGCAGGCTGGAAGCCAGTGAGGGCTGTGTTTTTAAAGAGGATAAAACCCTTGATATCAGTGCGTTTTTATCTGAGGCGACTAAACGAGTGTGATAAAGCTGCAATCATCATTTGGTTCCCTGTGGATTCATTGAAACGAGACAGACACGAGATGTAGGACAAATCCAGAATTAGGCAGAATTTAGAGGTTAAAGTTTCCTCACCATTAATAACAACAAACGGCTGCTAAACAAACTGCTGCAGTGAGACCTTTGGTTAAATTCAATTTAATTAAATGTGCAGTCAAACACGAGTTTTTACATCATAAAATTGTCCTTAAAAGTCTTAAATCCCGTGAAGTGAGAGCGTGACAGCGTGACTTGTTGTTGTTGTTGATGATGTCTGTCTGTCTGCAAACAGGATGTAACTGAAGTAACGTGTAACGAGCTGATCTCAGGCTGTGATGACTCCTGTCACTCCTGAAGCCTCCTTATGTATTTACAGTGTGTGTGGATGAAGCACGCGTGTAATCCACACGTTTTGAATCCGGACCAGACACAGCCACTGCACTTGGGCAAGGCACACACGCCGGAAGTGTTGTAAGCTTTTCTTTATTCATTGGCTCACTTATTGAAGTTCATGTAAAATAAAATAAAAATAACCTCAACAAAATACATTTTCTTTCAGCCGTGATTGTTTTGTTTTTGTTTGTTTTTATAAAATAAACTGCGAGCTATAGACCTAAAGTTCTGGGATTTAATAAAAATGTGTAGCCTATTTAAACAGTTGTATTAGTTTTCCTCTTGTAGATAATTATTTCAGTGTAACCGGAAGCTGAACTGAAGAGGATAAATAATTGATTTGTGTAAAACTTTAAAAACGTAAGCCAAATCACTTTTTTTGGTTTATCGAGTAAATTCTCTTCTAAAATCAGAGCATTAAATTCTACATGCATGAGAAATTAAATTGCTATTTTGTTAAAGCACAATTATTGATTACTGATAAGAAATTACCGGGATGGATTTTTTTTTCGAGCTAGGATGCATTTAGGCTAAATGTATGTGCACACCTGTCGAAATGTTCCTGTGTTGTAGTAAGGTGAACACAATAAGTTGAGTTGTTTAGTCACAGAATAAGGAATAAAAAGGCTTCTGTTGGGAGGGATTTCAATTCTCAATTTCTATATTTATTCCAGTATAATTGCATCATGACATTTTTATTTTGTCTTATTTTATTTTTTGATTAGATGTTTTTTTAAGGTTTTTTTTATTCGAAAAGCGAAATGATTGTTTTTATTCTGTCCTCACCTGCGGCACATATGTCTGACGCTTCATAGATAAACGATATTAAACGATATTTAGGCCCTACAAATATCAAATGGCACATGAGCCTGTGTCTCTTCTCTGCATTGCGTTTCATTCCCTCCGTTATTAACTGAAACTACAGTTCCAGCCGCCCTACCTGCACTCTGGACTCCGTCAGACCGATCCTCAGCGCCAGCTCCTCCCGCATGAAGATATCTGGGTAGTGCGTTTTGGCGAAGCTTCTCTCGAGCTCGTTGAGCTGCGCCGGGGTGAAGCGGGTCCGGTGCCGCTTCTGTTTCTGGGACTGCTGCGCTGCCGACTGGTTGGAGCTGTTGTTCTGCTGCTGCTGTTGCTGCTGTTTATCCTGCTCTTTGCTGTTGACCTGCACCGTGTTGGATCCTCCGCCGCTGCTAATATCATCGCCCGGGAGCATCGTGGCCCCTTCCACGCCGTCCGAGCCTGGGCCGAGCTCTCCGGAGTGTCCTGGGTCAGGTCCCCCTCCGCCGAGCCTGCACTTCAAAGCCTCCCTGTGGCCCAGGAGCTCCGCCGCGGCATCCTTCATCCCTGCACAGACAACCACAGCTGGTGAGATTTGTACAGTAAACACTTTCGCTACAGAAGGGGGGAAGCACACGTTAATCAAATACTGCGAGACATTAAACTGTACACAGAGAATACACTTTACAGACAAAAGAGAGAGGAATTATGAGTAGTATAAACATTATTTTGCTGTAGTAAATGATCACAGAAAAGCTGCGCATGCATTAAACGATCCAGTTCAGATTTAAAACACAAATGCAGGAATTAAAAAAGCGTGCAGCTCTTTGAGAGAGACAACCACAGCATGCACATTACAATCTGCTCCTTAAATACTCTTAATTCAATTCGATCACACCGATATCTTAGGAAATTGTTAAATCAAATTACGCAGTAATATAATAATAATAATTACTTTTCCAATGAATTAAGCGAGTTTGGCTCACTTCAGTCACATTAAGATGATATAAGAAGCAAATTGACAATTTTCTGAGCTTGATTTAAAGTTAGAAGTTCCTCCAGCTTACAGTAGAGTTGAAGACCGGAGTTTGGTGATGATAACTCACCGAGGCGAGCATCCAGGAGGTCGGCATGAGATAGCATTGCGCACCGCTCCAGGGCGAAGTGCTATTCCAAAAAAATCTCTATGACTTTAACCTATTTAAGAAATATATATAGCGTAAATGAAAGCAAATTCGGTTTGTGGTTAAATGGGGGGTTCGTTGCATTATAATGTAGTTTAGAGAAATGGGGAGGCGCTTAACAACGGAATGAACCCATGAGCTTCTCCAAACGAGGACCAATCAGAGTTGAAGCCTGAGGTATGTCAGCTTTAGCCCGAGACCCCCGCCGCACGCCACCCCCACCCCCACCCCCACTTCCTCCTCCCCCTCTCACATCCACAAGTTCATTCCTCCTCATTCCTGTAATTGGCTTTGATTTCTCCTCCAAATTACATCCAATAAAATAACCTGATTTAATATCTGTGTGAAAGCTTCGACCCGTTCAAGAAATGTTGGATCACCACAATATTTGTTTAATTGTGCATGCTGTTCTGCACTTGTTTTTAGAGCAAGCCACTCGAACAAGAATAGGAGTTATTCATATGAGGAAGAACCACATGGCTGCATTAACAGATACCACATTGCATGGCAAATATGTGCAACACCATGAGTTTGAACTTGAGTCTATAATATCAAACTGCATTTATTGTTATTATGACATTTGTAGTCCATGATGACATTGTCGACCTCTTCATGACACTAAATGGTTCTTGGAGACCAAGTGAACCTCTTCTAATTTCCTTGATTTCCCAATCCAGCCAAACAACAAACTTTATATAATTCTAACCAGACTAATTTTCAAGGCCATTAGGCCTTTATGTAATTAGTGCCAAATCTATACGCCTTTATTGCAAATATCAGAGTAAGATCAGTATAAATTAGTGGTAATTTACTAGTGTTTAGGCCCAACTGTCAAGAAGGGAGGGACTTGGTTTAAATGATGTGTGAGCGAATTAATTCGGCAGAAAGTGGAGGGAGTTCAACACGAGCTGCGGATGTTTGCCTTTGATAAAGGGACACAGTTAAACCTGAATAACATGACACCTGAATAGATATAGCCTATATTCTTACATGTTTACAGCACCTGGAGGAGCAATTTATTCATTTTTCCTAATCTCTCTAAATGAAGGTTATTTATTCTCAACGAGACAAGAAAAGTTATTTTAAATGCAACTAAAAGGGAGATCCCTTTGTCACTGAATTAGGTTCGATTAGCACAGCAGCTTTTTTTTTTTGTCGCACACACACACACACACACAAACACAAACAAACACACCAGCCTTCCAAATATTTAAGGACAAAAAAAAAATCAGACATGCATTTGGACAGATGTCCGGACATTTTAAGGGAGCAGGTTTATTTATTATGTGCTGAAAAAATGCCACAAAGGAGGCGTCCGAGCGTGAACCCGGGGCTCGTTTGGGTTCCTTTCTTCATCCACCCAGGCTTCTATTGCCTCTGCTCATCTTTTATGTGTCTGCAATCTGGTGGCACGACCGACAGACCGAGCGGGAGGGATGGATGGATGGAGTGGAGTCGTGTGCCGGAGTCTCTCTCGGACGCATCGGGGACGTGGAGGAGATTTGGTCTTTGCGCTGATGTCTGCGTCTTTCTTCAGAGGGGGAAAAGAAGAAGATGCGCACTTGGAGATATTTCTCGTCCTCTTCTTCTTCAAGGCTCTGTTTTTTTAGAAGCGGGACTTGAGGTAGACTTTAAGAGGGTGAAGACTGGAAATAAGCGATGTTAATTTAAAGGAGGCCTATTGTAGAGTTTAGGACATAGCCCATCATTTATATTAATGTTTGTTTATTTTACAGAATTATAAAGCCATTTTGTCATTTGTATTAGCCTAAAAAATATGTACAAAATTCAATGACATTTTCTTGTGTAGCCTTTTTGTCACAGCTTCTCCTGGCGCGCTGAAAGCCAATAAGGATAATTCAAAGTCATCACACTGGGATGATGGATTGCGCTCTTCGTTTTACGACTTTTCAATAGCTCAGTGATTTTATAGCTGTACAAACAAAAGTGAAGAGTCCTCTCATAGCAGCAGCAGCTCATGTTTAACCCCTAGTTCCGGTTAAACATGAGCTGCCTAAAAACAAATATTAACTTGCTTGCACATTTTTATTTAATATTTACAAGCCGAAAAAAAATATCAACTTTTTAGAAATGGTAGATTGAGTGTGATAAGTGTTTCCCCCTCCAAATAAATACGTTGTGATTGATCCAAACAACACTGACTGCCTTAATACAATTTATTAATCTGGTTTAGATTGAACCTTGCAAGATTTCATGCTTTATTTGGAATAATAAAACAACATTTTACTCTTTTATTCAATGCACTGGAGACTTAAAGCACAAGTAAATGATATTTGTAGTATTGGGTTGTTTTATATTAACCAAATTGCTGTCTCATCTAACAATAATCTAAGTTGTTAAACTAACAATATAAACTAATTTAAAGGGTTCTTTTCACTTAATATATATATATATATATATGTGTGTGTGTGTGTGTGTGTGTGTGTGTGTGTGTGTGTGTGTGTTTTATTGAAGGTCTTGGTTTTGCTGAGTTATAAGGTTGTAATTAGGGTAAACAAGGAGCAAAGCCACAGTTATATCTCCCTGGTAGATCCCACTTACATGCTCCCATCAATCTTAGCCATGACATAAATAAAAATAGACAAACAAATTCGCCCGCTCAAAGTTAATGCGGTGCATCTGAGTGGAAAGTAGACATTTTCACGCGTTGTGGAGATGAGGAGTGACTTTTAATAAAAACAACATAAAAATGTAATCCAACTGTAAGTGGTGTACTGGGGCAGATATCTGTGGGGGCATGGCTTTTTACCTCATATGCACGTCCGTGACTGCTGCTGTTGGACGCGCAGTTGGAGAGGCTGGCGGGGCTTGAACCTGTGACCTCTTGGTTACAGTACAGGGTCTCCAATACTATAGGCCCGCGGGAGGTTTTCATCCCCCTTCCTCTCTCTATCTCTCCCTCTCTCTGATCCGGCTTTGCAGTCCGTATTCACTCAATTAGAGATTTCTGAGGAGAAAAACAATCGATCTTCCATCTGCACAAGGCCCCGTTTAACAAATGAGATTCTTGTTTCATGCAGCTGATTTGGTGACAGTCCGGGGGATTAGGAGTAATAAATTACTGTGTTGAAGAGGAGACGAGCGGCTGCCGCTGATGCTGCAACTCAGCGGTCTGCTCTGCGTCCTGCATGCAGCGGCAGAAAGTTTGTACACAGACAAACTTTAGCAGCAGATAAAGACGGCATTCTGCTCGATCGCGTGAGGGGAAAACGTATGCATCCCACCTTCTGTGCCGCTACCGCGACAGCGGCAACGTGCCGCGCCCGCGTCAAAATAAGGACTGTTGTCTTCAACATGTCCGCAGTTACAGCCTATTTCTAATAACAATAAACTTGTAAATAGTAAATTATCAACAAAATTAGTGGCAGAGGAAGTATTCAGATCCTTTAGTAAGCAATTCAAAATATTGAAAATAGGCTACTCCATTACAAATAAAAGTCATGCTTTCAAAATGCTTAAAGTAGGCCTAGGCCTACATAAATCGGCTTTTATCAGCAATGTAACCTTACGTATAAAAGTAGGCTACTTACAGTGAAGGCAAAATTGCCTGTTACAGTAAATATATATAGATAGCCTATTTATTAGACTAGGCCTATTGGATTACTGCTGATCAAGGGCTTCACTTTGTGGGGAAAAGTGGTGGGGACATAGGGGCTCAGATTAGGGAGACACTAAGAGACACTAAGCTCGCGAGAAATCACGATACGCAATATTAGGTTGGAGACGAAAAGATCCTTAAACAGTGTTTTAAAGATATCCTCAAAGTCAAGATATAATAGCGGGGGTCATGGGGGACCTACCCCATGAAATTCTGATCTTTAAACACTTCATTTCCTGCATTCTGGTGAAAGTTTCTGCACCAATTTATGGTGGAAATGTTTTTATTTATGGTAAAGGAAACACAAAATTCAGGTTGCAGCTGACATTTCAAAATATATAAATATAACAGAATCTAAGTCAGTGCAGCTCTCAGTCATTCTGTGTTGCTCCTGTAGATCAACTTTTCTCATGTAATATCATCCCCGTTGAGGCAACACATATGTAGGCATGATTTAGTCTTCCCTCCTCTTTTATCAAAGAAAGAGAACCGAAAACAAGGCCAAAAAGGAACTGTGTCAAGAAGTTGTTAATGTTACTGACTGGTGCATGCACATTTTTGGGTCAGTTTATAATCAGTAGCTTGTTTTTTTTTAGCTTAAGTTACTTTTATTGGACAATGCACATTTGTTTCTTCTATATTTTAGCCTAATTGCATTGCATGTTTTTTTTTAAACAAATTATGCTTTAAAAAAGTGGTGGGGACATGTCCCCATCTTCCCCAGTGTAAATGACACCTATGCTAATGATGTATTAATATGTAAGCGGCATTTTAATGTTATCTGGCTGCGGTAGAGCTCATTTTACTTTATAGTGTTAGGTTGTTTAATTTACTGCATACATCCTTAGCCTAACTGCAGTAACTAAAATCTCCGTGTGCAAAACTGCCAAATAAAAGTCGCTGAGAAGGAGCCTACAATAGCCTATATCCTAGAAGTAAAAAATATCTATATTTTAAGCGTAAAATAGAATGACATTTTGAGGTATTGGCGACTCAGTACTTGAGAAAATGTCCATAGTTTCCTTCCACAGCTTATCAAAATAGTCACGTGCCATAACTGCTCCATTATTAGATTGGAAATGGCAGGTTAGCTTGCTCTGAGGTTATATACAGGCCAATTCATTCATTCTATGCTAATTTAAGGTTTCCCAGATAATTGGTAGTCTGGTGGTCGTGGAAGCAAAGAGGCTGAAATTAGTTTTGTTTGAGAAATGAGTAGACAAACATTACTTTTGAATAAAGTATAGGCCTAATGAGAAATAACTAATTACTCAAGAGGCAGAATAAAGAAGTAGTATTTCCAATTTATGCCATTTTATACTTGTAGTCCATTCAACTCCATTTATATGGCAGAGACGTTTTCAGATAAAGATTTTACATGAAAAACACGTGATCAGTTTCTAACAAACATTAAACCATCTACCAGGATATAAACAAGTTACCATTTGCTCCAGCTACAACACTAAAATGCTGCTTACAAGTTCATGCATTATTATTAAAAATAATTCACCTATAGGCCAAATATGGCATCTCCTTGAAGGGGGCAGTTCTACTGCCTAATGACTGCTTTTATTTTGATACCTAAGTTTTAAAAAAGTGCGGATAATACTTACGTAAAACATTTATTTACTGCTACTTTTAGATGTAGGATCTGAACACTTCTTCTTTTAGCCACTCAGAGCAGCCAGCAGCCTGCACGGGTCCTCTGGTCACATAAACCCAGATGTAGCGCCCAGCCACCGCATCTCATGCCTCAATTAGCGCCGCTGCCCTCTGTACGGACTCGATTAGGCCGTGATTTATCCGAAAGAAATATAATTATACCTCCAAATAAAATAATCAGCATTGAAGAGCGATTTCCTTAACGAGATGGAGCGGGGTAGATGCCACGGAGTAGCAGCGCCTCATTAGGGCGGTAATGAGACTTTGGGGTGATCCCGATAATTATCGAAATCTGTAAAATAAGGATCAAGTCAAATGTAACCTTAATTTGTCTGGCAATTGAGTTCATTTATTAGTATGACTATTTAGGAAGGACTCTCTCAGCCTTGATACAAGGTGTCGTTATTTTAGGTCATTTGGATAATAGATGTAACTGCTGCAGGGACATGAGACAGGCCTGTTTTGTCATTCATGGCCTTAACCAACATTCATCATGTGACTGACGGGGCTGCCCAGAGTGCTCTGGTCTTTATTGTAGGTATCAAGACAATCCATTTTCACTGCTCTTAACAGGAACACCAGCAAGTGAATACATGGTGCAATTAAACCCATCACTTAGTGTTAGTGCTGAAACAATCAGTTTATTAATAGATTAGTTGAAAGAAATTCACAATCCCCAACAATTCTGATAATTGCTTAATTGTTTTAGTAATTTTTCAAGCAACAAAAAAAGCCAAACATTAACTGGTTTTAGTTTCTCAAATGTGATAATTTGCTGCTTTTCAGCTGTTTTTTTAATCACTGTAAGCTGAATATATTTGTGTTTTCGCAAAACAAGCTCAGGTAACTTGTGATGGGTACTTTTCCCTTCTGACATTTTACAAATTAAACAATTAATCGAAAGAATAAATCGACAATGAAAACAATTGTCAGTTGCAGCTCTGGTTAGTTTTCTGGGATGTCTCATCATCATCATCAAGGGTTAGAAACAATAAAGGTCCTCAAAACTTAACCAAATCAGATACATGTCAAAAGAAATTCAAAATGTATTAATCTGTCACTTCATAAAACACTGGAGCTTCTACAGAGATCTGCAGTCTTTCACTGTTTACAATAGCAACCAGTGTAAACCTTCCTACTTATAAATCAATCCTGCAGTGGACCCGCACCAACAAAAAATGTTTGCGGAAAAGACAACAAACATGTGTGTGTTTAATCATGCCTATGTAGTCCAGACTGTGTATTAGTATGCTAATTAATGTCATAAGAAAAACCTTTTTACTCCTCTACTGCGATAAACTGAATGATTTATCGTGTTCTTGTGGGATTTTACTCACAGGAGAGGCTCGATCAAATGTGCTGGCACGTTAGTGGTGAACAGTAAAAATAATTACATCAAGAACAGAGACTCTGAATGGATTCAGTTTGCCTCCACGGTTGCAAACAGAGCCTGACGAAAGGAATGGACATTTAAAGCAAGTGAATCTCACAGTGAGAACAGACACAGATCAGAAATCATCCTTCAAGCTTCACTGAGTCCAGAATGTTTCTAGCCTCCTTGTACTCCTCTGATTCGGCCAAATCCTCTTCTGTTTCCTGAAAAGACACAAACACAGACTTTTGAAAAATATCTCCAAAGCCCAAAAATGAGGAATTACAGCTACTTTAGAATAAATGCACAACTGTCCTCTACACATATTTGTGTAACTGTCTATAATCAAAAGATTTGAACAAAACTGTTTTGATGTCGCTTTGTCATTGTCATCATAAAACGTTAATGACTGAGGTAATATTTCAGTCAGCCTCATGTGACTGGGATCTAAACTGAGAAGTTGAGTGTAGGACTGAGAGATAACGTGACTTGTGTGGTGTCCATGTCCTTTAATCAAGTGTGTGCGAGTTCCTGTGGTGGTCACTGCAGTGACAGCGCTGCTAATGAACTGCGATGAGCATATTCATATGTGCACGTCCGTCTCAAAGAAAGAAAAAAAGAAGACAGGATGAGTGATGACGGAAGAGGACATGTTGCTAATCCCAAGTTAGCTCCCTCCGCCTACCATTTACTGACTCACACCACCAGCTGTTGCACTGCATTATTTGAGACGACCCTGAGACTGTGGTTGTACAGAAAGACAAAATATGGTGTAACGTGACATTTGAGGATATTCAAATGTTCAGTTCATTGATATCACAAAAAAAGCATTTATGTGGTCACAATGACAAGGTTAACAAGCTGATTCAATAAGTGCGTTTTATGTTCACCATTTTCACCATCTTGGTTTGCTGTGAAGAAGGAAGGCTGAAAGGTGCTAATTAACATTAAACCCAAAGTTCAGGCGAGGCTGATGGGAATGTCATTAGTTTTTCAAGTCATAAACCAAACTGGACAAATTGTAATTAAAGTTAAAGTTAAAACAACTCATCCTGAGGGAGACATTTATTTAAGTGCCTATATCATAGCAATCTATCTAAATGTTGTCAAGATGTTTCACTAAAAAAACAAATGTTAACCTCATTGTACAGGAAAAGTCAGGGGATCAACAAAGTCAGTAGGATTCATCATCTGGGAACCATGAATCAGAGGCTGCGTTAGACTCGATGTCCGTCATAATCTGTTATTACATGTCAGTTTTTATTGAGACATATAGCCTATTTAATAGGATTTAATTTTCAAAAGCATTATAGATTATGCATTTATTAAGGGCATGGAGAGACTTTTCATGTGACCACACGAAGCAGGCGAATGATTTTTACCTGCTTGCTGCCACTTACCTGGATAACAAGGTCATGAATGTGAGATCAAAGACAAAACTACTAGACAACAGCTAATTTAATATGCACACTCGCCGCCAACTGGACAGGAGGTCTACGTGTGGTTACTGACAGCGTTGCATGTGAGTTACTTAACATTACAGTAGAGCGCCCCGAGTCTTTATCTGTCAAAATGATAGACAGCCTTTAGATTTTTCCTTTGTTGTCCCCCCCACATTCATTTACAGGGAATATTTGGTTAACGCCACCCGTGTCATGAATGTCTGCTTCATGACAATCCACTGAGCAGATGTTAAGATATTTCAGTCTGGACCAAAGTGGTTGACCGACTGACCAACAGACTGACCTTGCCAACCCTACAGTTACATGAATAGCACGGCTAATAAAAAATTTAACTACATCATTGTTTCTGGAAAAACATGTTGCTGTTGAGTTTCTCCAAATGTCAATTTTCAATCTTTTGAGCAACAAAAATCTCACTCAGCTCCACTCTATGTTTAAATGCTGGCGGAAGTCTCTAATATCGTATTGGATTATCTCTCACATTTCCAAAATCAAGGCAAAGCAGTTTGTTGTTACTGTTGTCTGGATACTTTTAAGCAGTCAAATGTCAAGCAGTGCCCACTCACCTACTCACCTCTTTGAGCCTTGGGACCAGCTTAGTTTCAGACCAGGTTATAAAGTTACTATCAGATATACAATGAGGACTAAAAGATACACTGCTTGGTGACAGTGAGAAACCCATTTTATGTAAAATACGCTGTTTAGGCTAACTGAATGAAAAACAGTACAAATACAATGACACCATGTAGGTTTTCAACAAAGCCATGAATTAATAGATTGAGAGTTTCATCAATAAAGTTTTGTCCTTTTGTGAGATGAAAAAAGTTGTTTTTGTGTGTTACTTACTAATAACTGAAGCAGATCTGCGTGAGCTATGGTCAAACGGCGGTGGCTGTCTGGGATCATCATCCTGGACTCCTGCAACACCTCCATCTGAAACCACACAGAGCCATCACCATTATTAATTGGACTTACCCCCAACACTGCTCCCGTTATCATTTTTCATTACCTGCCTTCACAAAAAAATTAAAAATAAACACATTATCAAACATGTATTTTCAAAATAAGGAACATTACTTTAAACAGCTAGATACAGGCATACTCATTTGCTGCATTTGGCTGTAGCCTTGTTCCTGACAGTAACGTGCAGGGTGTCCCACATTCACTCTGCTGTGGTGAACATCTCCCAACAAGGCGATGGTATGAAAAATGTTATTGAGTTATCGATCGGGCAGGGAGTTGGGCGGCAGGGGACCACCTCGATCTGACTGCACACCTGGATAAATGAAGAAACCCTGAGCCGAGGGCACTGTGATCAGGCGTAAAGAGGTATTACTACGCCCGGAGTGGAACTGTGTTAAAGCTTGAGGAACTTTCACAGCCGCGGCTAATGTGGAATTCCCCCAGCTGGCACCCTAAAGAGCAGAGAAGAGTTGGCTAACGCTGTCAGACACACTCACTCATGACAGATGTTTCCTCACCTAGCCCTCTGTCGAGCTGGAAAGTCAAAACATGGACGCAGTTACACACATGTACATTTCACGGCTGTGCCCACAAACAGGCGCTCAGATGAACTCATACACGGGCAGGCTGGCAGGCTAACTGACACGCCGAAAAGACGGTAAACAACTAGTCGAGTAGGTTTCCATCTAGATGTGACAAGGTGAGCCAGACTAAGCAGAGGAGTGCTGAAACAGAGAAAAGTCATGGTGCCCTCCCAGTGCAGTGGAATGATCCCATCAGCGCTGGATAAAGACGACACTTACAGCGTATTGATTCCATTAAAATAAAAACCTCTAATCCATCCTGCCCCAGACCTCTCATCTCCAACCATAATCCATCTGGCTTCACAATCTCCACATTTAACTCCAGCCAAGCCTGCTGCTCAGCCTGAGCCTCCGCTCTATGAATGAACAAACAAAACAAAACACACACAGAATTTTAATGTTACCAGTAAACATAATGTAGTTCCTCCCTGCCTGAACCATGTACAAGTGAAATCCAAATTAACTGGGACCCAGTACTCTTGCAGGAGGAAGTAAGGAGCAGTACTGGTGGAACACGCCCACATATTTTGGTACAGTCCACATACTGAGGCTTTTTGGGATTGTATAAAAGGGATATCTATCTCCTAAATATTGTTACGGCTTCAAGTAAAAAAGAACTGTTACCAAACTCAGAGAAATAACCAACTATGAAACTTTAACACTGACTACGCTCCATGGAATAAATTACTTGCACCCTTCAACCACAGAAAGACAAGACTGATCAGTGTTAGCGGTGTATGCATTTACCATTTCTAGTAGCTTATTTCACCATTTTAATTCTACTTCATTCTCCACCTTATTTTAGAATCTGCTCCCTTTCCCTTCAGTTTTCTTTTACCCACCTCCTCCAGTAGGATACGTTTTATAAAGTTGCTGAAACGACACAGAGCTTATCTTTGCTTTACCTGGTCCGTGCTTGTAAAATATCCACCATGTCCACGTCTTGTCATGTAATAGATCACAATTCTCTCTGTGTTTCTCTGCAAAATGCTAAAATGGGTCACCAAATATACCTGGGAGGCCGGCCCAAGTAAAGTCTCTATGTGGGAAACACTGACTAGTAGGGCTGAGTGGTGTGCCAGTAATGTTTAAGTCATCAACCTACCGTAGTACTGTCAGTATTTTGTGCATTTCTCTTGATAATCAAGCAATTTTATTTAATGTTCCTCTTAATTTGACCTTTTTGGCCCAAATCCCTTTGTAATTTACTGTACCTGTGTATAGGTCTGTTAACTGATGACTCTACGCTAGTCTTTGTGTTTTCATTCTGCTAATGAAAACACAAGGACTTGTAAAACTTATTTTACCAAGACATAAAGCAAGTTAGCAACAAGTGTGTCGCACACATGTTCAAACCCTACACTGCTTTCTCCAGTGCACAGGCAAATGATGGAGGGCTCGCCGGCATAGTGACAGAGAATGAAGGAGCAGAGGGACACTAAATTACCAGCATGTGTCAGTAATTATCAAACTCCTCTAAAGTAACATGATATAATTACATCTGCATCAAGCAAATTACAAAATCACTAATGATTCTCTTCTCAAAACCTAATTCTTCATTATCACTGTGGACTGACCTCATTACATGAACGAGGGGCTACTCAAATCATCAACATAGAATTCGCTTCTTAACTATGAGAGTCACTTACTGGCTGAGATAAATGGATAATGCTATGATTTCCATATATACTGTTATATATGATCAAAGAAGCAAAGAATAGGACCCACATACCTGTTTCTTGATCACATAAAGATCTCCTGCCTCCGCTTTCAGGCGCTCAATCTTCTCCTCCTGCTGCTGTGCCTCAGTTTTGTACGACATCTCCTCTTTCACCAGCCTGCAGACAACAAGAACAGCAAGAGGGGAAAAGACGGTTCAGTTAGAGGCAGTGACACAGTGTTGTTCCTTCAAACATGAAACATAAATGCACGGGCTCCCCGACAGATAATATAGGCCGCGCCATGAAAAAGACGAGCTGTGATGGTCACCTTTTACAGAGGCCATCTATCCTCATTCTGTCCAATGGTCCTCTGACTGAGGGGTCACAGGGAGATCATTTCCCGCAGGATGGCGAGACGCACACCTCAATAACAACCACCGAATACACCATTCCTCCTCACTGCTGCTACACACCATTCTGGCATCCAAGCGGAGATCAGCCTTAAATTATGCTTTAATTTGAAATTCAAATCAAGGATATGATGTACTTGCAGATCTTAAAATGTCCCTGAATACCTCAGACAAATGTTTCCCATACAATGTTAATGTCATGCTCATCTGATATGAAATGTGTTTTATTTCTGGAACAAATCTTTAGTTTTACACTAAGATAGTATTAAAATCAGTGCTTGATAGCTGCTTTGCACAGACATTCTCCATAATAATCACAAAATAAGTCTTTGCAAAGGTCACGACTAAACTGAAAAATATTTACAGGATATTTCTTTCATAGTAAATAGACTAAACAACTGAACACTTATTAGTAGAGCGTCATAGTCATGGGCAATAATGGTACAGGCCTGATGTTGAAATGAGACTGAGAAGCCTTTTTCACAAGTTTTATACTGTATATTATTATTTATTATTAGTATTTGTATCATATATTGCTCAAATGTGACAATTTGAGTAGTTTGAATGGAGACAGCTCATGTTGGGAATTTCTGAAAACCTCATATATGACTGAAGATGATTATAGTGTAACTTAACACTAGGCTGAAAAGGTTTCAGGTCTGGAGTACCTGTACCCCCACACCCTGAGGCAGTGCTGTCACAGTTTACTGACACGCCTTCAGGTACACAACTACATCACCGCAGCAAAGTGAGAAGTTAAAACACTGGCTGTAAACAAAAACAAGGTTTCCAGGGGGTGTTAATTTGCACTTTAAAGTGGAGATTTCAGGAGTTATTATTATTATTATTGTTACTGTTATTCTACCATTTCTATAATCTTCACTAGGTTACCCACACCATTTCTGTAAGCGTGTCATGTCACAATGCACACCACAAACCTGATGCATACGCAACATTAGCACAAGTTATTTATCCAAAACAGAAACATGGATCTTAGGTCTGGTATTAAGTAATTTTTAGGGCAACGCCATTTGGCCATGGATATATATAAATATATTGGGGCATATAAGGCAAAATGTAGGGCAGTTAAAACCAAAGGTGCAGTAAGTTATAATTACATTGTATCAAGAAAGAACAGTATGAAATCAACAATTAGGAGTAGGTGTATTGAGAAACATTCCTGAGTTTATTAAATTTGAAAGTTAAAATGCTGTTTGATTTTTCAAAATGTCAATAACTCATATTAATTTAACCATTTACTGCTTATTGCCGTTAGAAACTGAGTACAATTAGCGGGTAATTAGCCTGATCATCAGACGTAATCAATACAAACACTTAAATCTTATCAGACTGTAAACCATTAATCAAACAAGTAACTAACTGCAGTCAACATCAGACAACCTTATCGTACTTTAACAGTCACCTATTGTTTCTGTGGTGGTGACAAAACGTAAAAGAATAAACATACAGTATTAGCAGTCTGAATGAAACGCAAGCTCCCTGCTGTCTCCAGGGAAAATATTACACCATACTCCATTGAAGAAACAACATAGTAACCATTCATAGTGTGTCGGCAAAAACACATAACTGTAGAAACTAAAGATGAAAGGTGCCATATGTCAACAGTCTTCTCGTCAATTCGGCAAATACAAATTCAACTTGTTACCAGCCTTAGATGGCAACGTGGTGGCAATTAATTATCTAGGGGTCAACTGATCGATTATTCAACCAATTGTTTCAGCATGAATCTGTTCTCTAGTCCAATGTATATTTAATATCAGAATCTAATTGTTAACAAAACATTCCTCTAACAAAAACGAGCATGACCTCAGGAGCACGAAGATAAGCAAGATGATTATTCTGAAATATTATCGCACAGAAGCTTATTTCACATTAATTCAGAGTAGGGATTCCCAGTGCCAGGGCAATTAAAAATATTATATTTAGTGACATAGTGGCTCTGTTGTATGCTGTTCAATTTAATTTGAATTTTATTCCAAAATATACCAAGGTGAGACTCTGAAGTGACACATCAAGATCATTTCAGTGCTGCATAATCATCTCTACTGTGAAGTAAACTGAATTCTGATTAAATGTATTCTTACTAATGTACTTTTCAAAATAAATATGTGTCCGAATGTCTTCATTATCAAGTGTTGAGTAACATCGACAATTAAATTGCACCTCAACCTATTCCATGTTTTGCAAACATACAGGGCCAGACAAACAGAAAACATTTTACTGTCCTTGTGAACTGTATCATTGCTTCCAGCTCACGCCATCACTGTGCTTACCTGACTCCTTTATCTAGCTCCATCACCTCCAACACACACACACACACACACACGGACATGCACACTACTAGTCCTTTTTAGAGATTAATTGATCATCAATTTAGTCCCTAATTTGGACCAAGTCAGGTGGTAAATGGGCCTCTTTTCCTTGATTGTTAGTGAAAATGGGGTTGAGTACATTGATAAATTTTGATTATTTATCAATTACGGGCCAAATGGAACTAAATCTATTAAACAGATTCTGACCCTGATTGGCATAATTGAGTTTGAAAATATCGCTATTGATAATGATTCCCAACTAATAGTCTTTTTCCGTCTGTGCCTGAATGACAACATGAACGTAATTTTTCATAAAATCAGCTGTGTGTGTGCGTAAGTGAGTGATCTTTCATTAATCAGCCACATTACTGGAGACCCTTCCCTCCGTGTTGCACTGCTCTGTCATATTTTACATCAATTACCACTCATTTTAATGCGGTTCCATCAAGAAGCTTTTTAAACAGGCGCCATATGTAATCGCAGCGCCTGCCTTCCACTCTCATGCTTGATGCTGAATGAGTGATGTCACCTGTTTAGAGTCAAAGAAGGTGGCAAAGAGAGGGGAAAGATGGAGGAAGGAAGGCTTGGAATAATTTGAATAAAACTGAAGGACAGTCTAATAACAAAATGTCCATTCCACCCCTTCCAGTCCTGATGTTAATTTCTTATTTCTCCCAGACTTGGAGCGCCGTGTGAATGAGGGGTGGGGTCGTGGCTGGTTTTAAATAGACCTGCCACCTCAGGCTTAATGGAAAAGGCAGCTCTCTGGAAAATAGAAAAAAAAGGGAATTAGAGCCAGCCGACACACACATTCGGCCGCCTCCTCTGGCACTGTATTTTTGAGCCACGACGTAGTCTGTGCTGGGACCGGAATGACAAAGGCAAATTACTGTTGTCATTTTATTAAGGGCATCCGCCTCGCTAGGGCAGAAAAGGCACTGACTGGAATGTGCAAAAGCCAGTGGAAATAGGCCTGGCTAAAAGACCAGGCAGGTTTCCTCTAAACTCCAATATATAACAAGGAAGCAGGGAGCTAGTGAGGCAAGAGGAGAGAAAAAGTAGAGACAGAGGAGAAAGAGACTGAATGGGAGGGACACAAGATTATGAAGAGACAGAAAGCAATGACACTCTGTACATTTAAACCTAACGGCTTGATTAAGGGTTCATGTCAGCGTAGTACTTTGGGCCTACAGGGGGTGAGATGTAGTATCGCCTGCCTTATGTTCAAATAGTATACTCAACCTTAAAAAGTACAGTCTTTAGGGACAGTACACTTCTATACTACTGCACTATTGTTTTTCTTGCACTGGACACTGTGACATTTTTCTCTATGGGAAGCCCAGCCACCATCATTACCACCTCAGGGAGCCTGTTAGTAATCTGACCCTCATCAAAACACAATCAATAGCACATTACACTAACGCTATTGACAGGAGGGAATTAGAGGTCTGCCTGATCGACGAGAGACCCTCCCAGTCCATCACAGAGACTACTATACTGAGCCCATTACCTCACCACAGCTCTTATAATATCTACAGTATTTTCTATAACAGCATGGTAAATCAGGCCATTGGACAAATTTAGAGATGAGCTCAGAGTGGATGCCAACTCTTTTAATAGATTGGCTTACACTGGATGATGATCTTCAGAGGTCCTACATCAAAAAGCCTGTGTTTTGTCACATCTCAAATCTGCTGAGATGTCATGTACAAAGAAAAACACATGTATTAGGGTACAGGTTTGGAATTTCTATTCATTATTCTTTTGTACTGTAAGAGTCGATTTTCCCATGCTGTCTTCTTTCCCATGCTACATCCCTCACCAGCTAGAAAACTATGGAAACAAAAGCTGTGCTTCCACCAATGTTTTTAAATGACATTTTGAAGTATCAAATTAGAAAAAGCTGATGGAAACGGAAAAAAAAATTGTCTTTTTCTAAAAAGACTTAATGCGCTAAATGGGAGATGGAAACACTTTTGCAGATTAAGTTCTGACGTAGTGACCTTGTAACTTACGACTGATCAGCTGTTTCCGCTGTCGTCATGGAAACATGGCTGGTAGCAACTTGCCAACTTGAAACACATTCCTGAAGACATCTATCCACTTACTGCTGTTATTTAACAGTAGTGATAGTAAAAGAGGTACATTTTACCAGGCGTCTGTAAAACATACCGCTGTGGCATGTTCAGTTTGGCTACAGCTCTGTAACGTGGGCTGGAGGCTCAAGTTGCAGCCTAATAGTGTTATCCTGCTTACAGTATGAACTTCACCACAATCTCTAGCGAAAAATCTTCATCAGCAGTCCAGACTGCTAGTTAACCAGCTTTACTACTCTCTTACTCTCATAGTTCCCAGTGACTCTTGAACAGTACTTCTGCTTGAAATGCCCATCCCTACCATATAATACTACAAGCTTTGATACTGCAATGTTTTTCTTGAACGTGTTTGATCATCAAATCAGGATCTACTGCAGATTCCAGTTGAACAGAATGTGAAGAATACTGACTGTACAAGATTAAACTTACACTACACCGCATATACCTTTGTGGTTTGCGGAGGTAATAAAATATTTTCCATGCTTCTGGAGATGCTGCAACTTGTCATCCAACAGAATCCACTCCCTGGCATCAAGTGTCAATAAGTTAAGTTTAGTGATGAGCTGTGGTCTGATTTATTTACTCTAATTAGGCCTATATAAATGTCTCAATAATCTTGTAGATACGTCACCTTGATAATATAAGTTAAGAGAAATATAACCATCTTTGGCTTAACTACACTGAGGTTATATACTGATGGAGAGAAACAGAAGCTAATTTATCCTAAATATCAAGCTACTGACCAGATAGTCAATATGAAATGCCTCAGAAAAAAGGAATTCAGGAGATCTCTACATTTAATTCTAATAACGCACGCACTTAAGACGCAATTTCAAAGCCCTAAATCTAAATCCTGAATTTGATTTAAGCATTAAAATTTAGAGTAAAAGTATTGCCAAAGTCCTTATAGGCAAGTCCCATATGACCATTGGTGGTTATTTCGGACTAACAACACCAGGCCCCTATCTGAATGAATAGGGAGAGAGCCATAACTGCACTTTCACTGGTCAGCAGAACATAAAAACTGCACGTACAGAATCAGCAGTAAACTCTGTCAAAAAAAAAAAAAAAACACTGAAAAAGTTTGATGACTTTGCCCAAAAATAAGGTTTGATAAGCATTTTTCCCCACCGGTTATAGTTCCCCACCTTCATATGCGTGGTAGTAGTGACGCATGCGCAGCAGACCTTTACGTCAATGGAACCACACGATTGGCTTAATACGTTTCCCGGCTCGGCAGTTAAAAGCAGACGATTGGCTTTTTAGCGAGAGGGGCGGGATAACCCGGCATTATGGGAGTTGTATTGAGGATTCTTTAAGTAACCTGTCGCCTCTTAAAACATCTCTGGTATTGTTCTGGTATTAAGTGACATGAAAACTGCCACAGAATGGGGTCACATGATCAACTTGGTTTAAGTTTACCAATGGCCCAAATTTCCTGACATCACTGTAGTCTTTTAATATCACTCTACCAGAGCTCTAAAGAGAGCACTGCCAACTTCATATGCGCATAATGAAACAAACGATGAGACTGCATAACTTGTCTGTCTCCAGGACGGTACAAATGAGGCCATAATATAATCTTACCACAAAATAACCGACCTGAAGCTAGTGCCAACATGTTTCTTCATAGAAACAATTTCAGTATAGAAAATAAAGCAGCATCATATTTAACAGCATATTTTTATGATATGCTTAGTGACAGCAAACTTGCAGTCCTAATACAAATGTGATGATCTGCTATCTAGGCCATAATACTAATAGCAGCAGTACATGATGGAGACTGTCCCATTGTAGTCATCGTGACTGTGCAGGTATTTCATGCATTTCTACAAATGTCCACCATCCGTTCAGACAGGGTGGTGAAAAGTCTAATTATATGGAAATAAAACCAACAAACACAGCTAAATATGACTGCATTAATGACAGCAGTGTAACATTAACGTTAGTATATTCAATGTTAGCCGAGATGGGGAAGTTTTCAATGTTAGCGGCTATGTAGCTACCGTTAGTTAGTTGTGTTTACATTACAACCACTAAAAACAACGTGTATGACACTGGTGGTTGGGATTTACCTCTTCTATCATTATACATGGCAGTTTGGGAAACAACACAGCAATAGTTATCTCACAGACGAGCCGTATAGGCAACATGTTCATAGCAACATGAGAGCTATCTAGCTAACAGCTAGCATCAGTTGATCAACGTTAGCTGCAGCTGGAAGCTACGCTGAACATAATGACAGTAACTGAACAACGCTATCATTTTGGGTGGCGTTACAGTGAGTTTGTATCGTCAGACCACAAGTGTTAGCTAGTTACTGTCAAACCAAAATGAAGTGTAGCCACTGCAAACGGAACAAAAGAAAACTGCGTAGCCATCAGTGACCGCAGGCCGCGCCCAAACACCGGAGTAAAGTTAAAACATATCCGACAAACAGTCTTCCTATCCTGGGTAAGCTAGTTAGATCGCTATCCTTAGCTCAATGTAGCTATTCAAGCAGCTTTCTGGACATGCTAAATGATCTATAACTACAAATATAAGCATCTTACCTCTTAACGATGCCGGTTTTAATCTTAATTTGCCGTATTCTTGGATCTGCCATGGCTGTAGACTGGGGATATTACAGTTTCTGTGGGTAACTGGGTGAACACGGCGCACAGGTGGAATTCAGTGATGACAAGCTGCTTGCAGATAAATCGATCGTTTGGATTAGATGATTACCGAGTGTGTGGATCACAGATTACAACTGGTCCAGTTTGGGGAGAGAGCGCTCTGGTCCTGGTAACTTGTACAAGGTCATTGTATTCCTTTTGTATTAGTCCTATACAGTGGTAGAATGTAACTAAGTATTGTAATTTTGAGATACTTGTACTTTACTTGAGTAGTTCCATTGTATGCTACTTTATACTTCTACTCCACTACATTTCAGTGGGTAATATTGTAGTTCTACATTTCTTTAATATATATATATAATGAGTACTTTTGCTGATGGTACTTTAAGGAAAATAATAACAACATCCAGTAAACTTCAAAGTATGGGTTGCATTTACAAACACAGAACACTAAAAAGGCAAACAGCATTGTGGGTGATCAGGGACGCCCCTTTGCCTCTTCATTTTAACTGTTTCCTTCTGGACGACAAGACTGTGCTTCTGTTACAAAAAACAAATCCAAGTTTTCCTTTTTTCCACAGGCCAATAAATTTCTTAAAGAAATGTAATATTTAATGATGATAACGTATTGTCACAAGTGTCTGTATATCTGTCCATGTATGGTTGAAATTGTTCATTGGTGTCTGTTGTCTGATTTTTTTTCTTGTCTTTTGCTGCCAAATGCCATATCATTTCTGCTGTGACCTAATTTTCCCACAGGGACAATAAACAAATATAACAAATTAAGTATATTTTGATGCTAATACTCTTGTACTTTTACTTTTGAATGCAGGACTTTTTTTTTTCTTACAACAAATGCAGTACACAGGTGTGGCATGCGGCGGTGGTTGAAAAGGCTACAGGGCAATTTCAGCTTCATCGTAATCCATAATCACATGTTTTGGGTGAAGTGCCCCACTCAGCTTCAGTTTTAGTGATGTGGGAGTTATTAATTGATGAGCTGCTTTTCTTCCACATTTAGAGAAATGAGTTGAGATGATCTGGGGAAGGATATCTCTCACGCATCTTGCTTTGAAGGTGTTCTGGACATGGACAACTCTGACAGCCAGCAGACCATGAAAAATATCCAAGACTAATAGGAGCTTCATCTTTTAGCTGCTTTGCGAGCAGTTGGGGATTCCCTCAGAAGAGCTGAATTTTATCAAGGTTTAAGATCATCTGGCATGTTGCTCTGTTGCCATATAAATTAAATAATATAATAATAAAACAAATGTATTATATTTTTGTATTGTCCTATGCATTAACCTTTAACATATTTCCAATGTTTCATTGACTTCTGAATTTTATAAACTGGAAAGTCTAGTTTGTGATACTATTTTTGAATATGCAATTAAGTAACAAGAAAAACGAAGAGCTGCATCTTTTATATATACTATATATATACTTAATTAAGCAATTTATTTGGTTCAGAAGAGGTAAAAATAAAACCAGTGGCTCTCAACTTTTCGGTTTGTGACCCCTAACAGAAAACGCTTTGGCTCCTTGTTATGTTTCTGATGTCTATAAGGTGTTAGGTGTTCCACCAAAGAGACATTTCTCCTCTAAACTGCTCAGATATTTTCATTTAAGTAATGTTCGAGGCTTAGGAGAAACAAACTACTTTAAAGTACTTTACTTTTAATATTTTGACCTGTGTATACTGTAGAGATATTCACTGTATAGTTATTCCTAATACATCTATGCAGTTCCAATGAGGTACCTTGCTATTTCAATACAAGACAATAAACAGTATATACTACAATTGCATTAGCCATGTACATAATATTATCAGGCTATACTGTTTAATATATTTAGAGTTAGAGTATAATCCTAATTCTTAGCTAGTCCAGCTTCTAGTTAAGTTTGTAGTTATTTATGTTTTATCATTCCCTTTTTTATTTACATCTTTGTCTTAATGTTGTGTGAGGATGTTAATGTGTGACATGGCTGCTCTAATGCTGCTATCAATCTATCTATCTATCTAAATCATGTGCAGTCTCCTGCCTTTGTGCATGTGGGTCATTATCTGACAAATGTAAAATACTCCTACTACTTCACTACTTTGGCATCCTGTCTTTGTTGACTGCCCACCTTGGATCAAACCATGAGACAGCATTGGATATAAAACACATAAACATACTCAGGTATCCACTGAGTCCTGCTCTGAATCTTGTCTCTTCTACAGCAATCTGATCCAAAGTCAGTAATGAGATCCAAGTACAGCAAGTACAAGTCTTACAGCAGACCCAAAAATCCTTACCTTTTGGGGTTACACATATACTAGTTTTGCATACATCTTGTTCACTATAACATATATATATTCATGTGTAAGGCCAGTGTGTTTAGCTTTAAACATTTAGTGTCAATAGGCATTAAAATCTATATACAGGCAAATATTGCCTTATATGCTCTGTGTAAGTTAAGGCTTTATAAGCCTCAGAATAAACCAATTTCTTTATTTAAACAGTATATCACTTAAGCTAAACAATTGACATGGCAGATAAAGCTGTATTACAAAACAGCACATTCAATATAATTTGAATCTCTGTGCATCTGATATTGATTTGTGTGATCTATGAAAAAGAATCAATTTCATAGTTTTCTTCAAGGCTGCTTGTGTCAGAAAAACATATATTTTATTACATTCCAGTCTTCAGTCTGTCAATACCATTAAAAGTTTATGTTACTCAACTACATTTCTGCACATTATGGTATCACAGCTTCAACACAGCTTTTCCATAACAGTAGAATAATTATATACAGCAACACAACCTAAATGTCTTAATTGCTCATCACACTTATAATAACAACAAAACTTACAACTAATGAGCAGAGCAGTTGTCAGGTCAAGGGTGGAAGAAAGGAATACAGCCTCTGCAGAATTACATAAATGTAGACATTTTCTCATGCAAATAAATTTACATCAAAATTCTCTCTTTTAAAAATGTTGTTAAACTCGTCCTCACCATTCTAGTGGTAACATTAATTCAATCAATAAAAATATTAATAATAAGTATTAGCAATAATATTAATAAGACTAATACTAATTATTGTTAGCAACATGGGGGCAAAAGGCAGCCTGCAACCACAGATCCAGACTCTACAGCTCTGGAGCCAGAAACACCTGCAGAAAGTGACAGAAGGAGAGAGGGATGAGGATGCACAAAACTAAGGGAGATGGAAGGAGTCAAGTCAGTAACATGCATTAATGGGATAATGATGCATACAGATGGAGAGGAAGAGGAGGAGAGAGGAGCTCACTGCATCATGCATGAGTCAAGACTGCCTAGACAGTCTGAGCCTATAGCAGCATAACTAAGAGATGATTCAGGACTCACCTGAGTTTTAAGCCTGTGGAGTTGGTGTCTGCCTCCTGAACCCAAACTGGGACCCAATTCTACAGGATAGGAGCTTGGTAGCTGAAAGCTCTGTTTATATTTATTTTTTTGGTAGCTGAAGGCTCTGCTTTATTTGAGTGGTGCAAAAATTATAAAGAATGCATGAAATGGTATACAAAAAAAATAATTGGGTAAATATGTCCATAGCAGTGGCAGAAGAAGCAGAAGCAGTCATCAATGTTTTAGTGGTGGTGCCTACAATTCCACTTTAACAAAGTATCAATGTGGCTTATTTAGCTTTTAACAAATTAGGTATGAAAATATACTGTGCACGCTGTTATAATTCTCAGCAATACCAGCTAATATTGCAACAACATAAACAAATGATTTCAAGTGAATATTCATTATTCCACTACCAGGATGGCTGCTTTTCATTTAGACATGACATTATTATACCCTGGCAAATAGAAAGAGACTCATTAAATGTGCATCTGCTTGTGTAATACTGGAGAATGTAAATCCAAATTTAGTTCTGCAATAAATTAAGTATAAAAATAAGCTCACCTTTAGCGTAGTATTCTCAACAACTTCTGAATCACTGGCAAAGACAAGGACATGAAAAAGTAAGGTAGTTATCAAGATAAACAGACATTATAACAACTTTATGCATATACAGTTACAACTGAAGGAAATGATAGAATATACTTGGGTGCAATTTTGAGGTAATTGCACTTTACATACTTCTATTTCATGCTACTTCTACTCCATTACATTTGAAAGTCAAAATATTGTCATATTTGTCATTTATTTTTATCTGCTTTATTTTGTAGTTACTTTACAGATTACCATTCTGTGCACAAAACCAATGATGATCTCATAAAATATGAAGCGTTAGATTAAATACCCAACACTTTATAAAGAAGTTGTGCTCCACCAACTAAAACATCAAAATGCTGCTTGACACAGAACAAATGCATCAGTAAAAATAATCCAGTAATATAATATGCTGTATGATAATGTAACACAGAGAGGGGCCATTTCTCTTCATGAGTATACTTCGAATCTTTAAATACATTTTGCTGATAATACTTTTACTTATAACATTTTCAGTGCAGTACTTACAATTGTTATTTTAACTTTACATATTGCCTATTTGAAAGAAAATGAATACTTCCTCCTCTTAAATAGCTACTAATACTTAGGTGTTTAATACCTATTCTCTTGCTCAACACTGTGGAGCTCCACTAGCACAGTAGGCTAAGGGGTTAAATTTCCTGCTCAAAAGCATGTTATAGAAACATGCAGAACCAGGATTTCCCATAAATGCAAAATAATTATAATGAGCTCCTATTAATTTATATTAAACCAAGACTAAATAGGTTAACATAAGAGGGTAGAAACCAGTTCATTCTCTCTGCAACCGGAACGATCTAATTATGTTAGCTTTAAGATGTGCCATGCATTAATGCAAGACATTATTTTACATATCACTCCAACGCGAAACATATGAGCTAGTAAAATACATATTTTCGTCTCCCAAACTAGACAAGAATAAAATATGGCACAGGTTTCTGTCCAGGCCTGCATGCTGGGGGGAGCAGCAGCAGAGAAATCCTTTATCGGACAAAGCTCGTGTGATTGCATCTGAGAGGTGGGAAAGCCCAGGGCTCTTTCCCCTGCAGCTTCATGGCCGTTGATTATTGGTATTTTCCGAGT